TGAAGCAGGAGGAAACAGCCTGTCTCTGCCTACTAGCACCTCTTAAACTCAGTATCTTTAATCTGAACCACAACAGAAGCATGAAAACCACAGTTCACAGGAGGTTATATAACTTCCTGTAAAGCTGCAAATATTTGATATCTAACAGACATATATGAGAGTGACAAACCTTCTCGGCATCAAAAGGCAATAAATGCATTTCCCCAAAATGTCGAACTTTTCCTTTAAGTTCTGAAAACCTGACCCTCTTTCACAAACACACACTTGGCAAATGTTGTTGTTCCTCCTTCCTCCAAGCAATCCGATGATTTTCTCCACTAACTCGTCTGTTTACATCAAACATACATTTAAATGAACTGTTGCTATTGGTCCGCCACAGTTCACAAAAGGGCCGACATCATATTAAATGCTGAAATCTTAATAATCATTCGCATCTTGTGAAGAGCCCCGTCTTTAAAAATGATTCATCATCACGGGAGTTCAAATATTAACAAACCACTTGAGCCACTTAAGAAAGAAAACAGACTCTTTCCCAATGAGGTGGGGAAGTGTTGACAAAGTGAGTCACAGTTTTTATCCTGAGTCAACCTGATACAGCTCTCTCGTCTGACTCTGTACTTTTTATTAACCCAGATGAATAAGATGACAATGGTGAGATTAACATCTACCCCCAGGGCCCCTGACCTCCAACAGCTCCTGGTTCTCTGTGTGGAAAATAAAGGCAACTACAGTGATAATGGCCTTTATATGCAACTAGACTTTATCTTTATCAGCTGCATGTATACGCTCTCTGTCTAAACTAACTTGTGTTTAATCAAATTATCACACAGTAAACCAAATAATAGCAATATAATATTCAAGCATAGGAATATAATGCACAGGGACAGGGGGGCTCCAAGAACACAGCAATGGCTTTTCAAACACTCAGGTCGAGATGGAGATTCTCGTGAAGTTCATACACATCAAACTGATTCTGGAAGTTCATTCTTATATATATTATGTACATATTCTTAACATGTACATATGAAATAAAATCATATACAGTGGTGGCCAAAATTATTAGAACACTTGGCATATTTAAGAGGTTTCAGTTGTTTTTGTTGAATTGGCCATTAAAATACCCATAAAACGAATAAAATATCTACAAAGTCATCATCATGCTCAATAAACCGTAGAATAGAGCCATCATGAGGAGATTTAGGTCATTTTCCTTACAAAAAACAAGCTAGGCCTATGTCAATATCAATGTCACACAATCATGTTCCTTCACAGAAGAAGCCTAATTACTTGTGTAATCATTGTCAGGTGTGATCGTGTACAAGGCCTCTCCTGCTCATTAAGTGATTGGTAAAATCAGGGTTTTGTCACTGAGGCCACACCACCAGTTGGTATAAATTCAAAGCCTCTAGATGTAGTCTCGAGGCACATGTTGCTCTTTGAACATGGCTAAGGTGAAGAAGGAGCTAACGAGTGAGCAACGGGTTCGAATAAAGGCCCTTTTAGATGCTGGCTGGAGTTACCGCCGCATAGCCAAGGACTTGAGATGCAGTCCGAGCACTGTGAAGTACACTTTAGACCGCCAATTCACACCAGAACCGAAAGGGGAGAGGTAGAAAAAATAAACTTTCAGACGGACAAGTGAAGCATCTCAAAATTCTCAGTCTTAAGGACCGAAGAAAGACGTGACGAGATCAACACCACAACGACTAATGGTGTCTTCAAGAACTGTGCGTCGGAAACTGGGAGAAGAAAGACTTGTTGGCAGAACAGCAGCAAAGAAACCATTACTGAAAGAGAAAAATAGAGTGAAACGCCTGAAATTTGCAAAAGAACACAAGAAACGGACGAAGGAAGATTCGTCTAAAGTGTTGTGGACTGATGAGTCCAAGTTTTAACAGTTTGGCGACAAGCGAAGAGTGGATGTTCGACGGAGGGAGGGGGCGAGATATAAAAATGAGTGTCTCTTGCCAACAGTTAAACACAGAGGGGGTAGTATTATGGTGTGGGGTTTCATTTCAGTTTCAGGAACAGGTGACTTGATGGCATCATGGATAAGAAAGTATACCACAACATTCTGCTGAGGCACGGAGTATCATCTGGGAGTCGTCTTATTGGGCCTGGATTTATTTTCCAAGAGAACAATGACCCTAAACATTCTTCTAACTATTGCCGGAACAACCTGCGACAGAAAGAATCTGCTGGAACATTGGAGTGATGGACTGGCCCCCTCAAAGTCCAGACCTCAACCCCATCGAGCAAATTTGGAGCGAGTTGGAAAATAAACTGGACAGATCTATTATACATTCAAAGGAAAGCATTTGGCTTGAGTTGCAGAAAGCATGGGAGAACATTAGTGTTGAAGTGCTCAGGAAATATATGGACACTATGCCAGAGAGATGTGCTGCTGTAAAAGGTGGACATACCAGATATTAAAGTTAACAGTGGATAAAAACAGTAGGACTCACTTCATCTGATATTTGTTGTGAAATTGTGAAATGAAATCATGTTTTGGTGGCAAAAAAATATTTTCAGATCTGTCAGGTGTTCTAATAATTTTGGCCACCACTGTATGTATTTAAAATATAGCCTACATGTGTAATTATATGGAAACATAACTCTTTAAATAGGCGCATATACAGTATGTCATATAAATGTCCTAAGTCATAATATATTAAGGCATAAAGCGTCATAGTGATGGACCCCTGGCCTGTCGTTGTGGTTTCTGTTTATGTTATTGTTCTGATTTTCCAATTGTGCAGCAGGTGTCTGGAGGGCGGAGCTACACCTAGATCACCTAGTTGGAAGCACCTGGGCCAAGTGCTTCTGGCCTGTAAGACTTCTCCTCTTCGCGCTGTCTTGGGCCGGTCTCTCTCGACTCCGCAGCATATTCTACTTTTGTACTCAAGCAGACAACAGCTGACACTTCACACATCCCACTCATGCTCACATGCTCACATGCACCCACACCACAGGGCTTAACTTACACCTTTTGTGTTTGCTATATCATTTTGTTGTTGATAAATTTGTTATTGATAACCAAAACTGTGTTCCTTTACTTTTTGTTGTGGCTTTAGAGCTGGGTCATGACACTGATAGTGTAGAAAGGGATAAAAAGTCATCGTATAATGAGGCGTAAAAATTTCCAAAAACTTCACAGTATAATAAGGCAGAAAACGTCAGAAAACGTCACAGCATTAGTGTTTTTCTGGTGACGTTAGGTACCACTGTGATATTTCCTTTCAGTCAGTGAAATACTAGCATGCCTGAATCGGTTGCCCTGGAGACGTAGCCTTTTGGAGGGCACATTGCAATCATCTAATGTGACTTTACTCCAAACATCGTGAGAATGAGTTTACTCATATATTGGTAGGGACATGTCCCTACTGTCCATCTGCAGACCTACGCCCATGGGCAGATCTGTGGGGCCCCTGATGCAACCTTGGCTGGCAATAGCTCCACGTGTCCCACCCGTGCACGCTATTGAAGGTGCTGCACAGGCTTGTTTCCACAGTTCCTCTTGGCACAAAATGTAAGGCTTTAAAGGGAATCTTTGATTCAGCACACGTGGCTCTAACACAAACAGCCAGTATGAAAGCAACGCTATATTTCAACTCCATCCATCTGTGTCGTTGCTGCTGAAGAACCTTGGGGACATCAGCTGTGTCAGCGGAGGACCAGCTGCCCCGTCTTCGACCCACGACGAGACGCTCAGCTCGGTTTTGCAATAAACTGACACAAAGACGGAAAGAACAAGACGCCCAGGCTGATGAGTCATCAGATCAACCATTTGCCAAGAGTCAGCGAAAACAGACGGAGGATGAGAGAAGGATTTGAAAAGGTTTACATGAGCAGGAACTGATAGTGATGATGATGATGGCTCTTAAAATCACTCTGGAGACGCTGGAGTTTTTACATTTCCTGCATCTTTCAGCAGCCAAGAACTTAAAAACCCTCCATGTTTAGTTCACAGAGGATTGTGAAGGAGTTAAATTCATTTCTGAAAAACAAATTCTTCTTCACCTCCACATGTTTCCATATCACCTCTCCTCCTGTCGTCTCGTCTCATCGACTCCTGGAATTCACACAAACCCTCCAGTGCATGAGAATTATGCATTTTCTCAACTTCTGACTGCATCACCCACGTGTCTGTCATTTTGATTTATTCTCTCTCCCCCTTATTTTTTTCTGTTTCTCAGTTTCTTCTCCCGGATATTACCTGTTGATGCCCGTCTCAGTATCACCTGTACTCTCTGTGTGTGTTTTGTTGTTTTCACAGTTTGTGATTCTGCAGGAGAAAACTGAACCAAACCCAACTTCTTGTCATGCGTTCCTGTCACATGAGCAGGCCTGGCACCCCCCCCCCCCCACACACCTGTGATACAATCTCAGGTGTTCCCAGGTGTGGAATTCTACAGGTGAGTTGAAGCCCCTCTCACGATGTCAATGTCCCCTGCGGGAAAACCCCCGGGACTCGGAGGCTTTCACTGCCAAGAGGAAGCACGAGCGCCGGGGTAAAAGCCTCAGCTCTCTGCTGCTTCCTCACATGTGTGTGTGTGCTTGAACAACTACCTATAAAAAAACTTTAATTCAAGCAGGAACATTTCCAGTTTACACTTTAAAGCTGCACCAACAGGTTGGTGTTTGAACGGCTCCAAATGGCAGCAAGATAATTTACTGATTCTTAAATTAGTAATTTATTTCTCTTGGGAAACTCGTCTTTGTTATCTGAACAGATTTCTGAAACTTTGCCTGAACATTCCTGCTGTTTCCCGCTCTGCTGCTGCTGCTGCTGCTGCTGCTGCTGCTGCTGCTGCTGCTGTATCTCTGTAATAACATATAATTTACTGTATATTTCTTATGGAAATGTAACATGTTGCGTTTCATGACACTGGAGACACTGTATTGTTGATCTTTCCTGATGCAGTTTGAGTTTAGAGTCAGTTGTTTGACTCCACAGTGAAGGCTCAGTTTGAATTTTCAGATTATTTATTGTAGTACACAGTTTTCACTTTGTGCCCATGACATTCTTTTTCTTGCAGGATTCAAATAGCATTTTCTAAATCCATTTTTCATCAGCTATGAAAACCTCCTTCTTCTTCTCCTTCGGATACCGACAGTCAGGACCCGACTTCATCTTTGTTCCTCCGTCAACTTCCCCCTCTGACAGCATTAATGACGGGCTTTTATAACCAAGGCCACACCTCAGGACAGCTGTACGATAACTGTGTCCCAGAAAACATCTGACATGTCTCTTTTTAAAGGAAAGAAAATGAAGGCGCTGCTAACAAGAATATAAATTAGGTGAAGCAAAGCATTACATCTTATTACATACTCAATAAAACAATTATGTATATGAGAAATAGCAGGAACAATAACAGTCGAAGGCATTTTGGCTGAAATTGGAGGAAAAATGTAAAAGAAAGAAGTTTAACTGTTAACATGGTTTAATACAGTTTAGTTCTCGTATCATGAAATGAATCATAGAGATCTGGGAACATCATCAGACAGGTTTTAGCAACAGTTTAATTATTATAGATGTTTGTACCAGGTTTCAAAAATACGAGTTAGTCAACCAGAAAATGGAAGCGATCTATAAATTATTACCCAAACTTTCTCTTTTAAACGTCCAACATAATTAAAAGACTGTTTGGTTCAACTTTGACCTTCCTCTTGTTTCCTGTGAAATGCAGCTTCATTACCAACATTTTAACTGTGTTCGCTTTCAATCTGAACTCCACTTAAACTAGGTTTAGATAATCTGGTTAACGCTCAGCTTGTTTACAGTCTGTCTGATTGTCTGTCACCATGTTGCTGCACGTGTTCCCAGATCTCAGCCAGGGCCGGACGAACCTGCGAGGGGCCCAGAGGGCTGAGCTGAACTGTGGGCCCCCAACTGACCTCCGCCCAACATACTTGTTTCCCCCAACCCATTTTTCCCAGAGGACAAGAGGCTAACTACTATTACTGCCCCACAATAACCTACAGCAGGTCATTTAGTCTGTGATCATTCTGATTAAAAACAATTTTGTTTAAGAATATGCATCATGTATAATATCAACTTAAACTCGAGTCTGTAGGTCTCCGGCAGAACACTTTGTGTTCTCGAGATATCGCGTTCACAAGGCGCAGTTTGTGAGTTCACCGTGACCTTGACCTTTGACCTTTGACCTTTGACCACCAAAATCTAATCACTTCATCCTGGAGTCCCTGTGAATGTCTGCGCCAAATTTGAAGAAGCTCCGTCAAGGCGTTACTGAGATATCGTGTCCACAAGAATGGGACGGACGTACGGACGGACAACACAAAAACAATATGGCTGCAGCTCTGCGGCATAAAAATAAAGACAGGTTGTGACACAGGTTCTCCACACAAGACAAGGACCTCAAGGATTAGTTTTTATAGTGTGATATTGATGCATGTTACCAAACAAATTTGCAATGAATCATATTACACACAGACAACCGGGGGCTTTACCTGATTTGCCTATTTGACAACACAGCCTGACGCCTGAAGTTACTTTGTCCACAGCTACAACATGAAGACCCAAGTCATAATAACGTGAAATTATCCAGCGTGCTCAATAACAGGGCTCCGGCACTGAAACAGATGGCAGTCACTATTAATATTAGAAAGGAAACCCGGGGAAAAAACTGCTGTACAGTCTGAATGTTTTCAGACGTTGGGGATGAAGAGCGAGCCGCTGTACGAGTCTTTGTCCTCCTCTTCACCGTCTTCCTTGTGATCCTCCAGAAGTTTATCCAGCAGGTTCGGTGATTCCGGCTCTATCTCCGGATCTTCGTCCAGTGACTGGCCCGGTGCTTCGGGGTCCAGCTGGTGCTCCGAGCGCTGCGGGAGGTCGAGGATCTGGGGCTGAGGGTCTGCGCCCTGGGCCTCCAGCTGAGGGATCATGGTGGCCAAAGACATGGACAAGGGCATGTGCACCAGGGGCGAGCCGGACAGGGCCGTAGAGCCGGGAGCAAACTGGACCCCCGGGTTGGGCATGGTGGATATGGTGGTGAGGGGCTGGGCCCAGGGGAGGTACGTCAGCCCCGAGTCTGGGAGCTCCATCTGAGGGAGGGCGGCCGGTGCTGGGGCCACTGGTATGGTCTGGAGAGAACGACAGATGAAACTAAAATATTACTGTCGATCACAAAGGAAGTAAAACTAGCAAAGACACAAATCGTATATTATAGGAAAATATCTTAATGGTTTGGGACCTTCACTGCAGATTCTCTGTGGTTTTATAATCCTTCATGAACTCGACTGTCCGGCTTTTACAGACACACAATAATACGCACAAGAAAATAGGCGACGCAGCTTTTTTTTAACTGTGCTCCAGAAATATGGAAAACCTGTTTATTTTCATTTTACATATTTTATCATCTACTGTCTTTTTATTGTCTATTTTCATTGTCCTTCAAAGAGCAGTGCCAGTCAAAGGACCTTTAAACATCATTATCATGAAGTTAATTGCAGGTTGGAGACTCTGTGGTGTGGCTCTTTGAGGCAGAGGGACCGGTGGGGAATCAAACAGTGATCACTCCCTGCTCTCTACCATTGAATCATCTCCACTGATTTAACACTGACCTGTTGTTCGTTGGACTCATGGGAATTTAAAAATAAAAAAGGCAGGAAATCAGCAGTAGAAGCAGAAATATTATGTTTCTGATTCCATCTTCCTCCTTAGAACCTGGTGCCTACATTACCCACAATGCAACCCCACCAGAGAAAGTTTAATCATGTATTATGCCAGTTGTTAGCATCTGCCAAGGTGTAATTTGAGTATTTGCCTGTAGCTGTTTCGTTTCTGTTCAGCTAAACTGCAGCAGCAAACACATTTTGCATGTTTTCTATTAACGTAATGAGGATATGTTGTTAATTTACATATTTGGCCGAGATATGTTGATACTGAGAGTCTCAGCTACATATTTGTTTTCCTCCAAAACATCAGATGTTGCAGAACAATATCCACTTGTTTATCCAACTGTTTTATGTTGAGACTCTCACAGAACCTGGTTAAGTTTAGAGAAAGATCCTGATCTGGTTTAATACAGAAAAACTTCAGTGGCTTCAAACACAAACCACCATCTTTCTCTAACCTGCACCGAAGTGTTTCTGTTGTCTGGACTTCACCACAGACAGGACTCCTCTAGATGCAAACCTCAGTCTCAGCGTGACCTTCTCTCTGATCATATAATCCAGTCAGTAAGTATCTACAAGCTTTCTGTTGCAGTTCAGTTGTATAGAAACATAATTCCTCAGAGACAGAGTCGTGGTTTGTTTCATTGTCGGTGTTTTTTCTTTCACTAGAGAAAAGGACTCCTCTTGTAATGTTGCCAGTGTATTTTTGCATGTAAGGTCTTGCCTGATTTGTTCGCACATTGTCTCTTACTCACCCCAAAGTTAGTGAGCAGCGGTGCGTGTGTGTAGGTCAGCATGGTGTAGCTGGGGCACAGAGTCTGCATGTACAGGTCTGCAGTCAGCGTGGTGGCTGGGTAGGCCAGAGGCTGAGCCGAGGGGTCCTGCTGGTTGTACTCGGGTGAAGACCACGGCTGCAGGCCGGCGCCGGGGGCAGGGGGCGGAGCTCTCCATCCTGTGCACTGCAGCCCCGCATCTCCTCCCGTGGCTGACGGCTCAGCTGCGGTGCCGCCGGCAACATCAGAGCCAAAGATGGCTGAATGTCAGAGAGAGGCTGAGAGTGAGTCTTTCAACGTGCACAGACACATGCTTCACCAACAGGAATCAATTATCAGTGAAGAAATACCTTGTGTGTACGATGACTGGTTGTTGTGAGAATGTACATTCTATAAAAAAAGAAGAAGATTACATCAATTAAAAAATGAAGTTGAACAAGTCAGTAGTTGCAGAAGATCCATTCTGACATGTTGCTGCTGCAGAACTGGACCCGGTTCTCCTGTTGATATATAAATATTCAGTATTTACACTTGTACCGACCAAATCCAGGTGTGAGCAGCAGCTGAATCAAGACCATAAATAAAGTCTGTGTGTGTGTGTGTGTGTGTGTGTGTGTGTGTGTGTGTGTGTGTGTGTGTGGACATTGTTAGCAGCAGTGTGTTGGGTGGAGGAAAGTGTATATGTTACATGGGCCCGGGCGGCGAATCATTCATATATAATTATAGGATTCATTCAACTTTGAAGTGTCAGTTTCTACCTGCAGGCGAACAGCAGCTAAATCTGTTAAGAGATTAATGTTGATTGTACAACGTCACTGACAAATACATTACACAATATATACTCTGACTGCTGAGGAAGACCACATGATGGTGTTGAAAGCTGTTTTTTTTTTGATGATATATCTCTGCCTTTTATAAAATCTTCCTGTAGGATTGTCGGAGCAGAAAAGCAGCTCTGTGCCTGTTCTGTTGTTGAGCATGAAGTTGTATCACATGATCTTCCTCGGGTCGACGGACTCGTCAGAAATTGTTGGGAAAGGTTTTCTCTGGAAAACCATCCACCAAAGAAGACCCTGAGATATGATCGAAAGTTCCAGAACAGCTACTAATGGACGTCCAGATCGAACTTAATCTTAACTGATGCTGAGTGTTGATGTTGTAGATCACGTCGCTGCTGCGGAGATGTAAACAAAGATCAACAGAGATATCACTTTAAGAAAAACGCTGAGCTGACCAGGAAGTAACATCATTTTAAATCTTGAATATTCTCAATTTATTATATTATAATTTATAATTTGGTTTATTTCTGAGAGACAGTGCACATCATTAGTCAAACTTCAGTTTCATCACTGTTTTTATCACTTGTTTTGACACTTTGTTTTTATCTTGATTGAACTGCATTCCTCATCTTCATATCATTCACTGGACTGAATCTGGGCAGGAAATCATTGGTTTCTTATGTTTTTATCCTCATGCGTCGATGATTATTTGGCATTTTGTCAGTTCGTACTTAAAGTTCAGTGACCCTGTCCAGTTGTCCCCTCTCTACTTCCTGCGTTACCTCTCTGTGTTGCATGTGCACACCCAGATCTCCATCGTGCAGAACCACACGCATGTCTATCTGCTCTGTATGGTTCCTATCAGGGTGTGTGCACAACAAGGCAGCGATACAGTAAAGAGGCTGAAGTCAGAGGGAATGAGCGATGACAGCGCTGACAGCTGGTGTCAGCAGTGAAAGACCAGGTCCTGCTGCCTGCTGCCTGCAGTCAGCCAGCAGGCAGCAGGGCACGTGCTGTCAGGTGCCTGTAAGACTGCAGAGTCACTGGGGAGCTGGTTAATGTTACAGCTTTGACAGCAGGTGGAGGGTCACAGAGTTCAGTCATTACACCAAAGACTCAGCTCCTAATATTACTTTCAATCAAGTGCTGAGGACGGTGGGAAAAACCAAATCAAATCAACAAAAATTAACTCTCATGAAAACTTAAAGCACTTTTGGACTGAAATTGTTGCCATTAGTTACATGTAATTTAATGATCCAGACTAATTACTAATTACTTCTATCAATACACTCTGTCCTTTTTGACAAAAGCCATTCAGAGTGTGTAACTCTAGAAATAAATAATAAGAGCATCTGCTGGTCACAAAGCTGCATGCACCAAAGTCTCGCCTCCACACACACACACACACACACACACACACACACACACACACACACACACACACACACACACACACACGCCCCTCCTCTTCGCCCATTTTTGTATTAGCACGAAGTTAGGGGCGGAGTCAGGCACTGCCAAGATGGTGACGGCAGGGCAGCTCACTCTGAGCTTCAAAACTGCTCTTCAGAAAGCTGAGGGTGACGTCCATCTTTATTTACAGTCTATGGAGGTAAACATGTCGTTTTGAGGGTGTTACTGTCTCGACAACCAATCGCTTAACAATAAAACATAACTATGGGTCGTAATAAGATGCTGACACAAATAACACGTCATGATTGGTAGCACTCTCATTTCTGTGCGCTAAACTTGAAGCTACAGCCAGCAGCTGGTTAGCTTAGCATACAGACTAAAAACAGAGTGAAACTGCAAGCTTGGCTCCGAACAAGGGTAAAAAGAAACAGCTTGCAGGCACCTTTAAAGCTGTCTAATTAAGTCATCATGCATTATACATTGTTTGTTTAATCTGTACAAAAAAACACCAGTGTGACAAGAACAAGTTGCGGTTTCACTGATGCAGATATTGTATTTCTTCTCTGGTGCAGTGAATTCCAGGAGTTTCTGCTGTTTACCATCAACCTCAGAGTGACAATCACACACAAAACCACCTGTCTGTTTGGCGTACATGCACACGTGAGAGTGGTATTAATCTTCTCATCTCAAGAAAGAAAAGACATATTTCTCAAATATCAAACTATAAGGTGGAACACATGTGAAAACGTTATTATAACACAACCACTGGAATCATTTCGAGACCCGGATATTTAAAGATAAAAAGGTTCCTTGAAGCCAAAAGTACAAAAGAGACATAAATCCTGCTGCGCGAAATTATAAGAACTGAAATCAAATAATGTTTTGGATGATATTAAATGTCATTAATGTCGGTAAACTATTTTCATGTTCCTCAAAAATGCTCTCACAGTGAAAGTTGAGTAGTATGTATTACATGTTTTAACCTACCTGAACAAAACATCGAACTACACTTAGTATCAAATAATGTTTCATGTTGTTTCTCTCTCTCTGTGTCTTATCACAGGGTGTGTATGTGTGTGTTTGTGCATGAATGATTTGTGTCTATCCTCTACTGATCTGGAGGATTTAATAAATAGCAAGGGGGAGGGCTCTTTGGCAAGGCTGCAAGTTATTTTGCATAGGGCTGCATGCCCAGCCCTGGAGCCATGCACGGAATGGCTGTAACTGTCATGGAAAAACACCTGGATTATATAAGGGCAAAATCCCCCCTCTTGGCTCTGGGATAGGCCCTGGGTCCTGACTGCTCACATCCTGATGGCCTCCACAGGGACCCCCTTTACTTCTGCACAGTTTTGATCTGTTGTGCTTCAGCTTTTATAGCCGGCAACCTGCGTCAGGAGGTTCAGCCCACCTGCATTTCTTTTTACGTTTATTGACTCTGTTCATCTTCAGGATAGTTCAGATGAATGTTAGCCTGCAGACTAATGGAGATAAATCATCTGAACGCAATTAAGGTAGTGTTTTTAGAGATGCAACATGGTAGTTAGACATTATTCAGTGATGCATCGAAGAGAAAAATTTGCAAAAATGTCGTCACAGCACCCCAAAAAAAGTTTGTGAACTTGAGTTAAGTTAGCTGCTCCTGGCTGAGGCATAACAAGGAAAAGTTTGTGGGTGTTTTTCCAGCCAAATGCATTTAAAAAGTTAATGTTATCAATTAATTTTCTGCTCTTTCAAAGACCAGCTACCTGTGTTTGATGACTCCATCCTGCACATGATCCTAATGTTGCTCCACACTGTAACTGTGTCCTGTGCTGCTTATTTGTTTAGTGACTAATCCCAAAGTGCAGGGAAGAATGTGTTTCATTGTTCGCAAGGATCTTTGGAAAGTGATTTTCTTTGGAAAGGCAGTCTGCCAACATGTTCCCAAACCTTATGGGAAACAGTGGTTTAGGTGTCAGCATGTAAATGTAAGATGAAGAATACAGAGTGTGTTCAATATTATCAAAAAGCATTATGCAATCACATGTCAGTGTCATGTGTCTCTGTGTCCTCACCGCAGTGAGGGGCGTTGTCTTGGTGCTGTGCGGCTCCTGACTCCGCTTCCTCCTCAGCAGCTCTTTGACCGGGTCTCTGACTCGAACACCTTGGTACGGCCTGGACCTGACCAGAGCTGATGGTGACGCTAGACAGGAGAGACAGAGAGGCAGAGATACATGACTTCATCTCTCTTCAGTTGTCTTGAGGCAGCTCCTGTGATGGACACGATGGGTTCACAGAGTTCACGACCATGAACCACTACGTCCCCGCTTTGAACTTTGTTTTTCTTAGAGCAAAGTTAAACCTGTGTCAAGGAGTCACACCTCGACATCGCAGAGTCAGTAAAGGTCGGAAAACATGGCTATATAATGTTACACGTTAAACTGTAGACGTTAACTTGAAAAATTAAAATTTGAACAGATACAATTTCTGCTAAATATATATATTTATTGTATATATTGCAAAAATATTCCTTTCTATTGTTCTTCAAAGTTAAACGTAGAACTAGAAATAAAAAACTGAATAGAGAAATACATAGCATAAAAGTAATGACCAGCTTCAGACATTCTGCAAAAAAATAAAATGAAATAAAATGAAATAAAAATGAAAACTCCTTTTTTCGACCAAATCATCCAAATAAATGTAAAAATGAGCAAATTTTATCTTGTGAAATTCATAAATCTCATAAATTTGTTCACATCAATAGTCAATAATCCTCTCTCCACAATATGATCTTACATTATAATTCCTTATGACTGTTATAAAACACTGTAATATTGTATATTATAAAGGCTAATAGCAGCTCTGTTTGTGTTGTAATGTTTTAGATACTGTATGTGTAATTTTGTACTGTAAGTTAATTTTTAAATTAATAAAAATAGGAATAAAATCCAAACATACAATACTAATAAAATAAATTAAAAGTATAATATAATTATACATATAATAAATGAAATATAACTTACGGTATTCATTGTCACTCACATCTAACTCAAAATATTTCATTGATATTTGGCTGGTTACTGGTGGCACCTGCTGTGGTCGCTGATGATTAACAGTTTATTGTGTTATCCAGGTAACGGCACCATCGTAAAGATTTTCTGTTCTTATACACTTCTATGGATTTGAATTTTTCACTGATAACCGGGGGCTTAGTGTCCTGTGGAGCCGCACTGACAGAGACTTCAGGCTAAATACTCTCCCAGTACATCCAAATGTTTACAACCAGTGATATCCTGCAGGTATAAGCATGAGGGAGGAGAAATCTGATCCGACACAGAGGGCCTCTTCTGAATAAACTCAAAGCAACAGTAGCGTACCTGTGAAACTGCAGACAGTGGCATCCCTCACCTCAGCGAGGCCTGAGGCTACGAAGTCAGAGTAATGGCATTTCTCCCCCTGAACCAAAACACTTAGTGAACCCAAAATAGGCTGCAGGACAATATTTGTTCAGTTTCATTTTTTAGGGAAAGTAAAATAAAATGCAGAGCGTCCTGACCCTGCATTAATGACTAAGATAAGTATTTTCTTTTTAAAAGTCACCTGAGAAGGACGGAAGTGGAGGAGGGTGGAATAACTCATTAAGCACCAGGAAAAGTGATCTGCACCATGTCTCTCCATCACTCACCCCTCTGCCTCCCTTCTCCACTTTTACTTTTATGCACATTCACAGGTGTAGTTTTACAGGGAGATGAGGAGATGTGTCACCTCCACTTATTTCCTGACAGATGCTCAGCAACAATCCTCAGACTCACAGGATCACAGCAACATTTAAAGAAGTCAAAGCATCTTAATTCATTATTTATAGTGATACCCTATTATTACCCTATACCCTCTATATGTTAGGTTAGGTTAACTATGAGCCCCTCTGATGTCATAGTTTCTCTGAGGCTGAGCTGCAAATCTGCAAGAACTTTTCTTTAATGAAAAATGAGCGTCAGTCCGAATCCCAACAGTCAGAGCAGCTTTGAGAGGATGGTCTCATGCTGCCTGATCTAAATGCACCTTTGTATTTTGATCGCAGACAGAAAATGACATCAACCAGCCTCAATACATCAACTCTCTTGGATTCGACAACTTCCTGTGGCCATTATGTCACAGTGAGATTTAATCATTTCTAATTATGTTATTATCGCAAAATCTCCATTTGAGAGAAAGTGTGATTTTCCGGCTGTTGGGGAGGGATCGTGGGAGTGGTAGTAGCGTACAGTTAAGTCGGCAGTAAGCCTGGACTGGTGTACAGTTAAGCCGATACTAATGAAACGGCATGTACGAACACGAAACATGGTAGTTTTATGGCAAGAAGGTGCCACACTGTGTTTTAAATGCAGCAGTGTGCTCAGGCATCTGGTAACAACCCTTTCATATTTTCACACAGTGAAATTCGAAACCCTCAGTTTTTAGATTTATGTCCACACACTGGTGACACATGTTCACGGTTTAAATCTTGTTTATTTTCATATTGCATAGTTAGAAGCGATTGTGACACGAGATTTTACAAGCAGCTTGGAAAGAAATCCAATCTGATCTACTCCTTCCATTGTTCTGCTGTTGGACAGTTCAGCTCACACCATCTCCACAGTTTACGGGCATGTGTTAACCTTAACAAGCAGCTGTCTGGTGCAACACGCAAACAATGCATATGCACGAGAGCGCCAAAATTAAACCTAAAATGCAGTCGGCCGTGTTATCTTATTTCCCTAAACTTCAGTATATTTGCATTTGGTGTATAAAAATGGTTTTAGATGAATTAGTCTAGTGATCATGGACGCCAATGGACTGAATACACTGTAATTATCTAAGATTTTAAAGGATAAAAATAATAATGAAAAATAATAATCAATATAATATGATATGATATATAATATAAAAATACCCAACTATGGCTGTCCTCTTTGGATCTTAAAATGAACAAACATTTCCTGAAGAAACGACAAGACAAAACACCCATACTGTATGAAAAACGATAAGCAATCAGACTCTGCTCTTTACCATTGCCCAGAATAGTTTTATCAAATCTGTTTCTGATGGTATTTATCAGTTTGTTTCAGTAAATCATGTGGAAGAACATTAATCACATCAGCTTCGGTTCAATCTGGAAGTGTTTTGCGATCACCGCAATCCTCTTAATTCTCCTGCTAAGAATTTCCTTCCAGTTACCGGGCCTGCTCCTCTGACCTTTGGCCTGTGACTGCTGTTCCCATCAGTGATGGAGGAGGGAGACCTGTGGTCCAGACTGCCGTTGTCTCTGTCCTCTACGTAACCCCTGTTGTAAGGTTAAGGGTGTCCTGACAGTATCTTGTCCAGATTCCTATCTGCGGCTGACTGATCTGCCTTCTCAGGTCAGACACACTCTAAACAACACGGTGTGACCGGGTGCTGTGTGCAGACAAGTCCATGATGCTTAACAGAAACAGGGGCTGAATATCTGGAGCATATTTCACGGCAGTTTATAGGCAGTTTACAGTTTTTATTATTTTGCTGACTGAAATGTCAACTGATTGTCAGCAGATTTGGTCACTGCAGCAAGCTAGCTCATGAAGCTAACTTTAGCTACATGACTGGGCTGAAAACACTACAAACACTAACTCCAGCTGACGTTTTAATGTTTCCTGTTCACCCATTTTCAAGACAGAGGGTTAACAGATCTTAAATGAGCACTTGCTGGCTACATACACAAAATTATGCTAAAAGACTGAGGCTGAAAGGTGAAAAGTTAGCATCACGAAAGAGCTGTTTTTCTTGTATTGCATACAAACCATAAACCAGTTTACCCACATACAGTACCAGTCAAAAGTTTGGGTAGCTTTACTTGGACAAACAGAGTTTAGCTTTTATTGTTTCTATATTTAAAAACAATATCTTTTGATTTTAACATTACATTTTCTTCCACATCCCACTTTCTCCACTTATTTCTCCAACCTGTCTCGTCTCTCCTCTGTGTTTGTATCACGTGACCAGTACCGTAAAGGCTAGAAAATCTGTGTGAGTTAAAATATAAACGCTGTGTCAATATTTAATAATTCTCAATAATTTATAGGTTACAGATCTGGACGGCACCTGGGTCGGTCGGTGACCTCCTGTTTTAGGATAATAACTAGCCATGTCTGGATGGATTTGTTTTGGTGTTAACTTTCTTTAAAATTCAATAAAGAGCACCTGTTACCCCAAACTCTGATATTCAGGAACAGTTTTCATACAATGGGGAAATACTTCACAATGATATATTTCACTGTGAACAGAACTTTTTAAAAAATATCATCTGAAATCTCTCAAAAACACAGCTAGCTACCTATTCAAATGCTAGTTAGCCAACATGTTAGCAATTTCAGCCAGCAGCTCAGTTACTCACAAACTCTGTCTGCTAAATCAGATATTTGTAAATCTGCAGGATATTTCTTTAAAGCCTCAGTTTATTTGGGATGTGAAGCAAAGTTTTCCCATCATGCAACAGAGGACTGCTGTAGCATTTTGGAAATGCTCATTGTGGAGCATTCAGGAGCAGCTCTAGCGTAGCAGGAGTTCAGGAAGTGAGGCTGTCACTCAGCCAACAGTAACAAAGGATTTGTAAAAGTTCCTGGCAAAGGATTGAAGGATTGTGAGGAGTGTGCTACAAACAAGGGGGTGGTGCTTATCGTGACTTCAAACAGAAGACAGTGCTGTGTAAATGCACAGTTCAGGTAAATGCTAATATGGATTTTTGAATTGAAGCTCAGTTGTAGAGAAGCTGTTGTTGTCTTTCATCTCCCTCAGTTTGAAACACATGAGCACACACAAAAACAGACAAATAATCAGCACGGCACATGCACGGGGGGATAACACAAAAGAGGAAGCTCCACAGCTGCACGGTCTTTTACTGCGGTGGAGGTCTGCCACCATTTTGCTTATCAAGATTTCTGGGCCAATAGCAACACGCAGCCAACTTCCAAAAGACCACCTTCCTCTTTCCAAAAGAGTCTGACACAGCAGCTTCAACACTGATCCTGACACAGTACACAACAGGAAATGTTTCATATACAGTTGTTTCCTTGTGTTAATATTCAAATAATCACCCAAATGCTTGAATTAAACATTTCGTTTGGTGTTCTTTATGGTAGGTTACGGCAGGAGGATCACTGAGTACGATGATGTTGTGGTTAGAGCTTTACAAACCACATTTCTTCTGATCAGAAATAATAAACTAATCAATTACAACTGGCCAAAAACACAACAGCAGAAATTCATAGTTTGATTAAATCAAATTTCTTTGTCTCAGCAACAAGTTTCGTCTTCAAGCAGATAATTATCTGTAAATTATTGCACACAGACACTGCCAAAAAAATGAAATAAAATCAAATCTATGCTTCTCAAAGTTTGTAGATATTGCAGGGCTGTTGAAATGGATTGCATGGCATTGCATTGAACAGTATATTCTGCCGATGATATTATTTCCACCTCCTCAAAGTGAAAGGTGATGTAACGTACACAAACTGTGAAAAAGATGAGGTGAAACCTGAAACAAGTCTCAAAATTTAAAAAAAACTTTCTTCAGCTCTTATCTCCATCACTGAAGCCAAAGTTTAATCACTGAAATCATAGACCGCTCATCAATAAATGCAACATATATGTGCAACAATCTGCATGAAAGATATTAAAGTTTGTGTATATCATGTAAATAAAACAGCAACGTCGTGTTGTACTTACATTTCTCCCAGTGCATACTGCTTATCTTGCTAATATCGTATAGTTAAACTGAAGAAAATCAAAGTGGCGGGTTGGCTGACGTGCTTTATAGCAGCCTGTAACTGGCTAATAATCCCCCTGGGATGTCTCAGTTTCTCCAACCACAAATCTCCTTTATGCATGTAGTTTCAGTGTTAGTGCTATTTAAGTTGAATCATCACTACAAGAGATAAAACCTTTTGAAAAAGAGAAACAGAATGATGCCGAAATGAAACAGAGCATTAAAGAAAATGAACAAATAAATAAAGGAGAATCAATCGTGATACGTCTGATGCAAATACTGTTTTATTTGTGTGACAGACTTCCTTCCTGAAACGTCAATAATATTCAACAACATTTTATGTAGCGACTTAAGGAAACAAACTAAACGTGGCTGAGGTCGGGCCTGGGTAGATTTGTCTGACTCGCTACCAAAAAAGCCCAAAATATGTGAAAGAAAAAAAAAAACTTTATTAACACAAAAATAGCGATAAAAGTAAAATGTCAGTCAGCAAAAAATACAACAACCCCCTCACCCCCTCTCAAAGTCCAGTCCTCTCTGAAAATCATTCATGGCTCCTACATTTCATGTTGTCTGAGAAGTTAATCAAAACTCACATAAAGCTATTGATCGCAAAAAAAAACCTTTGGATCATTTAAACATATATGAATCAATAATTAAGTTGATGTTTAACTTAAAGGGGAAATCTTTCACTTTTGCACATCAAGGTCTGTTTGGATGTTGGAGATGTGAATAAAGTTGTAGGCTAAAAAGCTTTTTGCGGTGGCGTGACATCTAAATGTCCTCCAGTGATGTCATGAGTCAACTGGCATAACACACCCAAATCTTGAGTTGCATTGTGGGTAATGTGGGTGACAGGTTTTTAAACAGCCCATCATGAGTCTGACAGTGTTGAAGGAGTTCAGTGATATACTCTTTAACATGATTCTACTATTATGATGTTTCAAATTTAAAAGGAATATTTATGAGTCAAGTCGGAGTCAAGACATAGTTAGCCTAGCTTAGCATTAAGTGAGTCTGACTCACAAATTTCAAAGTTCAAAAATACACCAACCAACATGTGTCATGATGAATAATTAATACCTCATATCTCCTATGCTTAGTCACACATGTTCAGAAATGAACTGAACTGTGACCATCAACCTGCTCTACAGCTCGAGGAGGGTTAAAGCTAAGCTACTGTAGTTGGTGCACTCTTTCTTCACGTGGAAAAGTTTCCCTTGTTAAAGGTCATCACCATGTCGTCACTAAACTATTGCTGTTTCACTTCTGAGGGAAAACCAGATTTCACTTTAAAGTAGATGGTTTCTGGTGCGACAGAGACAGAGCGCTGCAGGGATGACATGTTTTTGTAGCCAGCCCTGATGTTATCGTCACCCTGGTTCCCTCCACAAAAAGCCAATGGGATTTTTACATTGTCTTTTTAGATTACTGCAGAAAATAAACTCTGTGACAAACAACAGTTTATGATACTACAGGTTTTGTTCAGCAGGATCATCTTCACTGATAAACTCCACTTTATGATGTTTGAAGCCTAAATACAATCAGCAGAAGTAAAAAGCTAATAAACCTATAGTTAACCTATAAACCAGCAACACCACGGCCACATGACTTCAGCGTCACCACAGCTAAACTTCAACTTGTAGTTTGATTTAGCTCTGACCTCTTCTGCAAAAAGTCTTTCCTCTTACAAAGTTAGTAAGAGTTAACAAGAGCGCGAGTATAAACACAAGGCTGTGAAGGTGGACTGGTCTCATTTAACCACATGTTAGCAACCGCTAACGTGTTTCTTAAGAGACGTCAAAGCTTAAAGAAATCATGACTGGGGTATTAACTGTCACATTTTATGTGGGAAAGTTTCACTTATGTCCACCTCACTTTATTTCAGCCATCTAACCAAAAACCCATTCAAAAACCCCATAGACTTTGGGGCGAGGGAACAGGAAGTGCTAAAAATGCTAATCCATTTCTGTGTTTTAGGACTCGTTCCTGCGTGTACGCTTCACACCTAAAACACCACTCATGAACAAATGTCACAAATTAGTCTTAAAGTCAAAATAAACACACAGACTCACAATATAGAACTTGAATGGAATATTTTAATAAGGTTGCTAACGTGTTGCTACAGAGCCACGTAAACACTCAGGTCAGATCAGATGACCTGACGCTGCTGTTCCAAATGAAAAGAGGTGTATTTTCTAACATAAGTTGGGGCTTGTTCAGGAAGCACTTTGTACATAATCGGCACCATTTTTAAAATTACTCCTTAATTTTTAAGTTAGCCGGTGAAGAGGAGCCAACCTGGGGGTGATACGAGCCTCTCAGGTGGCTCTGTCTCGCTGCCATACCCGGCTCTGGTATTTTAAACAAGAGGGTTTGCCGAAACTCACCTGTTTAGGCATGTGAATGGAGAATTAGTCCGGCTTGTAGTGAATGTGCTGCATAATCAGAGGATCTTGATAAGAGACAATAGGCTTTAATAGCAGAAAATATCTCGGCTGGGAATAAAAAAGAGGCGAGTCAACATTAATGCGCCAATCAAGGTTCACGTGCTGGTCAGAAATCACACAGCATAATCTGACAGACGCTGACTCAGGTGCATGTGCTGAACCAAAAAGTTTTATATTTGATGTTTGATCAAAGGTTTGTTGCTGTTTTTTTTTTTACTTTTCTGACAAAGATCAATAAGTGATAACTCCATCTAGGCTTTTACTAAAGCCCAAATATCAGGGTGGTGCAGGGATTGGCTGAACCCATTCAGATTCTTGTCGTGCCAGACCAGACCAGACCAGACCAGACCAGAGCCCCAGGCTGCACACACAACTCCAGACAGAAAATATTCCTTCTAATACCTTTATTATGCTTTCTCCAGTGCAACAGTTATATAAACAAATATAAGAAAGGAATAATCCAATAAAAAATACAATAAATAAAAGGTGAAATAAAATAAAGATTTTGTATCTAGAAGGTTTCACATCCAACATGTCAGCACACAGGACCAATACACATTCCTCCATACACCCAAAACCACAGCACCTTGTTATTAGGCCTCACTGTTGTTCCCTCAGACGTCTGATGAAGGAGCAGCACCAACTGTATACGACCGGTAAGATACTGGTTCCTACTCCGATGGGTCTTAAGGTGGAAAATCCAAAGGGCGGAGGATTCAACAAGCAGCTTCTACGTAGCCACTGCAAGAAAGAGACAAGTGGTGAAACTGTAGCTCATGTGCTTCATAACCAAAGCAGAAGAAGAAGAACTGACTGCTACCTGTGATGTGGTGAAAATCTGGAGTTTGTAGTTTGAAAAGTTCATATGGAGTTGAGGTAAAACTTTTAGCACATGCAGGGTTTAGTTTGCTTCCTGCTCTTCAAGTTCAGTGTCACTGTGTTTCGACAGAGCTGCTGAAATAACAGACTGAATATTGTTTCTCCTGCAGGCGGTGACAGACAAAGAGGTAGTTAAGAAGCGAAGACAGTTAAAAACAAAGAACACACTCACACACGTAAGATGATAGTGTGTGTTGACAATAACAATAAGCCCCATCTGATATTTTTAAACTACCTACTCCCACACACCCCAGGTCAGATAAGCCAAATCCGGTCCTGCTTTCACTGGTGTTACAATCTGCTCTTCCACAGAAAATGTCTAAACTTCATTTGTGCCAAAACATCAATTAATGTCTGTTGTGTCATGTCATTGTTGAGTTATTGTGATGTGTAACCTGACGCGTTTCCCTCCAGTTCAAAAGCCGCCACGCTGACTGACTGCGTTTACACAACAAAGCACTTTAACTCTTTAATTCTTTAATTGAACAGCATGTAATTATAGAATATTTCCATTTTATTCCATTGCTGGAAGAAAAAGAAGCTATTAAGATATTATCTATGAACTATTGTGGTTGGTTTGGAATAATTAAATCAAAATCCCATCCGTTATTTGTCACCATTGTGAGGGATTAAAATGTTCAAATTACAATCTCGTACATCCTTTGTTAATTGACTTCCATTAACGGCGTAATTCCCATCAGAACAGCTGTAAAACACATCACCACCAGTCTTTCTAAACATGTTTGCCTAATTTCCATAAACTGTATTGAAAGCTGTTTCAGGCAGGTGCAAATTAATAGTAAAAAAAAAGAAGCTTGCCGAGTGTGTTTAGACGGAGTACGGTTCTGATACAGCAGGCGGTTGTGTTTACAGTCATTTCATTGTGGTTGACTTCCTCTTTTTGACACTTGAAAGCGGCTCAGAAGACAGTTAGTGGCAGATGAAAGATGACTTCACTGCAAAACAAAAAAAAAAAAAAGAAAAAAAAAGAATCAGTGAATTGAACTTTCAAATTCAAATTGTAAATTCAAGATAATAAAGGCCGAGCAGCAAAGTTGACAAAGTTGTACGTAGAAACATAAATCTCCCTCCGTTAAGACGATCTCTAGTGGAACCCCTGAAGGAACAAGAAGCATATTATCATCTCCTCACACTCATGAACGCCCGGACAGACAGTTTGTTATGAGTTCATGTCCGTCACGCGGTACGTGCACGATGTCGCAGGCCGTTTAAAGTTCCTTCTGTTCAAACAGTGACACGTTTCTGCCTCAGGTCAAATCCCTCTGGTCGGGGTCAAACTCCGTCAAACCAAAGTTCACTTCAACTCGTGAGACACGTTGAAAGTCCGATGACTTTATTCTGAAGCTCAGCGGGATCTTTACCTCCCAGTTAAAGTCCTCATCCTCCGCTGATATAAGTAGTTTGGATTGTTCCTCCCTGTTTGACCTTCGCTGCCCATATAGAAATGTAACATATGCACATATGTTGAATTCCCATGTATAAAATATATGTAAATATACAATAAAATTACATGTAGAACCTGTTAGAAACTGGAACAATTTAATATATTGACATACATGTCTAGCTCATCCAAATATGCATGTGTATGTTTATATTGTAGACATATGTAGATATATCCACCCCAACGCCTGTGAATAATAATA